TCTCTCTCTCTCTTAGTTTCAGGCTATTTTGGGAATCTGATAGAAATCTATGGGTCATTTCCATGGGAAATGCCCATATGCATACAATTTTCATAAGGTTTCAGATTTCCATGGGTCTCCAGTTAATGATCCCCATTTTACAGCAATGTTAGTCTTATCTCTATCATTTTTTCCTTCAAAACGTTTCTCCTAACCACACTCTCCTCCAATCCTCATTGCCAATCCCTTTGTTCCATATTAGGTTATAGATCGGAACAGCAGGGGAGGAAAACATAAATGGACAGTTACCGATACTGTCATGACAGTGATGAATTCTGTGATAGCAGTAAGATCAGAGTGCTATGGGGGTGTGCTGGAGGACGGCCATCACTCTGGTCAAGTCATCAGTGCTCACCCAGACAATTACAATAACTTCCTAACTGGTCTCTCAACGACTCTCTTGCCTTCTGCCCCAATTAATTTTTTGCCCAGCAAAATCCTTTTTTAAAGCCTAATCAAGTCACATGATCCCTCCGTACACTATAATCACAGTAAGAATAAAATTCACCCCCCCTATCCAGAGCTTGCAAAGGCCCTACTGATGTGGCTCAGCTCTCTTTCCTACTGCTCTCTGCTCAGCTTAATCCTTTCTAGCCTCACTTTCCTTCCGCCTCAGGATTTTCCCACTTACTTTTCCCTCTACCTGGATCACATGTATCCTGGAGCCTCCCATGACTTTCTCTCTTACGTCTCAGGGAGGGGCATTCCCTGACCATACCATGTAAAAATCTTCTTCATCCTGATCACGCTTTTACTCCTCACCCTGTTTTGTTATTTCTCATCATGCTTATCTCTATGAGGTACATTAGTAGTATATTTGTCTTCTGACTTTTTCCCTTCTGTGAATGCTGTGAGGACAGGCACTTTGTGTATTTCTAGGACTTAGAATAGTACCCAGTACACATAATAAACTGTTCAAATGTTTGTTCAATAAATGTTGGAGTTAATATTTTGCAAATGTACTATATAGACGATAACTGATTTCTGCTCACAGAGTAAAAAAAGTTAAAGAATACATTTTAAAAAGTAAAAATCTTGAACTACTCTTAAAATAAAAGGATAAAATGTGTAACAATAGCTAACAGTGTGATATTTGTATCTGAAACTTACTTATTATTGTGAAAGAAATAGCATGAAAAGACCAGATTTATAATTTTCATTAAAAAGCTGTCATACGGGCCGGCTGAATGGTGCGTTGGTTAAGAGTTGGCTTGGGACACCAGCTCTGAGCAGCATGGCCCCAGTTCGGATCCCACACGAGGGCCAGTGACACTGCGCCCTGTACAGCTAAGATGGTGAACAACAGCTCGACCTGGAACTGGGCTGTCATGAGTCACTGGTGTCAGTGTAGGCTGCAGTGGAGCTGCAATGGGCTACCATACGCTACTGTGAGCAGCTGGCAGCAGGCATGAGCTGCCAAGAGCTGCCGTGAGCGGCCGTCCAGTGGCCAGAATCTGCCTCACCAGGGAAGAGCACAATGATACCAACTTGGGCCAGTGAAGCAACATCCTCCAAACTAGACTGAAGAACAAAAGGACAGCAACTTGTCTGTTCCCCTTCCCCGATTCCCCAACGCTGTTCCCCTCCCCCATTCCCCAATAAAATAAAATAAAAAAGCTGTCATACATTGTACTTGAAAAAATATCAGTGTGAACACATAATAGAGGATTGAAACAACACAGAAACGTTATTAAGTTAAAAATAGAAATATTTGTCATATACACAATTTTCCTAAGGATAGGTTAAGTTCCTAGCAATGACATATTTGAGTCTGATACCACCAAAGTGCTCTTCTAGATATCACACCAATTATACTTTTAGCAATAAACTATGAAAATTCTTGTTTCCTTATACTCTTGCTAACTTTGGACATTAATTAAAAATTGTAGTCAGGCTCATGAATTAAAACAAAATGGTGTTCCATATTGTTTTGCCTTTCTTTTTTTAATTATAAGATATACTAAATAATGTTGTCTCACTCAAAATTAAAGAATATTTGCTTCAACGATGTGGTTCAAAAGGGAAGTGGGCATTTATACCAAAGGGCATCGAAATGAGATGCACTTAAAATAGACTTTAAATAACTGAGTAATGCTCACTTCATTTGTAACATACCACTGTTACATACAGTTCAAACCCTAAAATTTTCACTTATGTAAAAAAGTTTATCGTTCTTTATTAAGCACCTATCTTCCGATTGTATAACAATGGGCTTCTAATGGCTAAATACAATGGATATTTGTAGTGCTACTATTACTTGCCTTCTCTTTGGTTGTTGATATTATACAACAACCGCTCCTTGAGATTTTCTCTTCTTTTTGCTTCTAGGACATGTGCTATGGGCTCTCTCCAACTCTAATATCATTCCAAGTTCGACTGCAGGGTACTCTTCCTTTGTCCATCCCCCAATCTTAGTGATCCCTTAAAAGTTGGTCTTTAGCATCTTCCCACAATACACATGCTCCCTGTTTTATCTCTTTTATTTCCATATCACCAACATAATAATCCACAAATTTTTATCTCAGTTCAGCCCAGATATCTTCTCCTGGGATATTTACCTATATAATCCAATAGAAATTTCATTCTGAACATTACACAGGAAACTTAACAGGTCCCGAAATAATTAACTTGTCTCTTTTCCTCCTCCACCACCAGAAATTCAATTCAATTCAATTCAACTCAATTCAATTCAATCGTTCAGGTCCCAAGCCTGGGCTGTCACCTTTCACAGCCAGCTAGTCGTTCTTGCATTAGTTCTGTTTCTTAGTTTTCAAATAGGTTCAACTTGATCTTTCACACCGCCGCCACCAACCTAAAACAGTCCAATATATGTCTTTTAAATGATACATAGTGAATGAAATGAACAGGAAGACAGTAAAGTGAAAATGAATGATGCCACATCGCATCCTAAGTTAATAATCACTGGAATAAGTTTTATATTTCTTCTGTTTTTCAAAGTGTGTTTTGTATCAGAGTTCTCTTCATTTGATGTCATGAAATATTATAAGATGGACAGTTGACCTTTTCTTGAACGTGCTTGCCTTTCTTCCCCCTCCCTCCCTTTTTTGCGTCCCTTTTTCTTCCTTTCTTCTCTTTCTCCCTTAAATCTTGCCTTTCTCTCAAGGTCCCTCTTTCGCTTCTGCTTTCCTTTCCCCTGCCTGGCTCCCTCCCTCCCAGCACGCTGGTCAGCTCCTCTCGCTGGCGCGCAGGCTCAGTCCCGCCCACGCGGATCTCGAGTCACGAGGCTGCAGGCCGAAGGCAGCGAAGGGGGCGCGGCGAGGCCGGGGCTCCGCAGCACGTTTGGGCGGAGCCGGGTGCGCGGTCCGCCCCTGCTATATCTGCGCCTGCGCGGCGCCGCTGCGGGGCCAGTCGGGACGGAGGAGACAAGATGGCGCTGCGCGCGATGAGGGGGATCGTGAACGGGGCCGCACCCGAACTACCCGTGCCCACCACTGGGGCGGTGGTGGGATCTCGGGAGCAGGCGCTGGCAGTGAGCCGGAACTACCTCTCCCAGCCTCGCCTCAGTGAGTATCAGAGAGTAAGACGGATCCTGTCTTTGCTTCTTAGCCCAGCCCTTTGCTCCCACTCACCTGCTTAGCCAGCGGCTTGGGGGTGGGGGGTGAGAGAGGATTTATTTTTCCATCTCGCTTCCCCCATCCCTCACCCACACGTCTCTCTCTAGAAGAAGATTTGCGTGCCCCTTACATTTCCGTGAGGGCAAGAGCACCATCCGGAACTTTCTCCTGGGGTTGGTGGGCTCCTGACTGTTGCCCCGCCCTCTCCAACTTCCCTCGACTGGAGCGTTCTCTGGCACTTGCTTGCTGTCTCCGAAGGCCGCTTCTTGTCACTCCAATCTTAATCTTCGCCTGACCTCATTTAGATATTTAGGGATCGAGGGAACGCCCCTTCCCATCCTCTCCCACTAGCGTGGACCTCAGGGCAGATCATGAGCTCCTGCCGCGGGCGAAGGTGTAGTGTCATCGCTGACGTGGTCAGGCCTTTCGTGGATGAAGGTCGGCACGCTGCCAGAGGGAGATGTTCGTGGAGGGGCTGTTCCACAAAAGGACACCTAGATATCAGAGAACGCTGGAGCTGAAAAGGAAACTGCAGGTCATCTAGTCTAACCCTCTCGTTTTACAGTGAGAAGCTTAAGGTTCCGGGAGGGACAGGACTTCTTGCCAGGCTTTAGACACCTAATTATTGTCAGAGCAGGAACTAAAATTCCAGGTTTCTTTATTCTCGCTGGGCCTTTTTCTACCATTGCATCTTCATTTACTGACCAGTTAATCTAACTTGGTTGAGTGCAAAGCTGCCTTGGGGAAGCCAAGCAGCTTTCCCCATATTATATAGCGTATATGCAAAGCATAGTCATAGGCATGTTTAAGTGTTGTGATTATAAAAAGACCTTAACAAATTAGGCTTAAGTGAACTGCTCAGCTGTTCCCAAAAGAAATGGTTCTTGATGACTAAATAATACAGTTGTGTAGCATCAGGCCTCTTCACAGCTTCCTTAGGAACTGGGATGAGCCCTAGAAATAGACTCTTTAAGACTTGAGAAAGCACCTGATGTTTCCCCAGGTGGCAGGACTATATTTGCGCTGGTTAATTGCCAGAATGCCTGTTTGTGAGTGGCCCATTGGTTAACAAGAATTTCAGATGAAGGGCTTTTCTCCTGCCTGAGTAATCCCCTCCTGCTCTGTCACTGGGTCATGTGACAGCACTGCAGTGTAAGGAAGGAGGAAAACACTATTTTATGGGGTTCCGAAATGTGCTTTTTACACGGGAAATTATCTGAATTAGAGAATGCCTATTGGTTTGAATGAGGTGATGTAAATGTTACAGGAAATTGACAGATGTTGCATTCTTATATAAACTTTGACAAATTTATACCTAACAGTTACAAATTCTGTTTTATTAATTGCATTTGTGTGCTTTTTTTTTTCCCTTTGGGTAGAATGGAGAGACATCCATTCTGGTGCTTCTAGGAAAAGATTATAAGGGTGCAGTAGTTTCCATGTAATTATTCATTCAATGTCAATTCAGAGAGTATCAACTGAAATAATATTGTTTAATTAAAGAGTTCTCCATGATTAAGGTTGTAAGCTCTTAAGGGAGATGAGTATGATTTCTCACTGTTCTCTGTGCCTAGCCAGTGACTGAAGAACTTCTCCAGATGAAATTCCTCCTGACAAAATTGTTGTAACCGTAATGCTTAAAATTGAACCGTTAGAGGTCAGGAATCCTTTTTGGATCCTCAGAGCTCCTAGCACAGTGCTAGACACATAGAAGTACTGTGTCTTGTAATTTGTTATGTAACTTTGCATTTAAACCCCTTGTTCTAATAGTTTAGGGGATAGATTCTTAACGTGAATGGACTCAGTGTAGGGAGTTGGGATACTTGGTTGGGTTCCTGTTTTGTGTGTGGATTATTCTAAAAAGCATAAATGAGATCGTACTTAGGCTACCAGCTAACCGCGTTTGCAGTTCTTTTTTCCTGTATTACCACATTCTTGATTCCAGTCAACAGTTTTGATTGCTTCTGAGTAAATATTGATTAACCTCCTGATTTTTCCATTAAAGATCAATGATTCCATTTTAGGTGATACAGTTATTTAATGTGTGCTTTTTGAATGAAGGAATGGAGTAATATTGGCAGTTCCATTGCACAGATTGGATCCTGTTTTAAAACAACTTCAAGATCACAGGACTGTTAACAAGAAATGGAAAATGAGATATGCAGGCTTGACATAATTTGAGCACTTCAGCTGAATTTCTGAAGTCACAAAAAAAGAAAACTTGATTTTCTTTTAAACTTTGAGCGAGGTTCAATAGTTTACATAGAGATTTGGGACGCTAAACATTTTGAATTACATAATCTCCATTGTTCTTGAGACCCTAGGTCAACTAACCTTATGTTACAGCATAAAGCAGAGCTCACTCCAGAAAAGTCAAATGGAGGAATCATCTGCCTGTTTTTTCTAGAACTCCCTCAGTGCTCATTGCTCAGGGTGTGGGTATCTACTCTTCTTGCACAAGGGAAGAGGATTGCTCTGGGTTTTTGTTTTGCTAATAAGGCGGATGGATGTTGAAGGACTAGATCTCTTATTGTGCAAGGGCTGTTGAATTTTCTCTTTGAAAGTTTCACAATCATTAAGTGGTGTTCCTAGTGTTGAACAATCTCATATCCTGCAGGAGGAAGAGGATGTCATCTGACAAAATATGTGTTTCTTAAAAACCTTTGTAGATTTTGGTTTTAAATGTTACTCTGTATATCTGTATTGCCTGCTTGATAGTTCAGAATCAAAGATGGGACTTGATGGTTGTAAAGTGCCTTAGGCATGTAAAGTAAACTTGTATCTGCTGTGCTGTCAGAAATGCTGATTGTTCCCAGCACACCCAAGTTCTTGCTCATTTGGAATTTTCAAGAGAAGAATGGTCGTTATTTTAGTAAATAGAAATATTCTTATAATCTGTGAATGGGTTTCCACTTTTTTTTTTTTTTTACCTTTATTGGGGAACAGTGTGTTTTTCCAGGACCCATGAGCTCCAAGTCAAGTAGTTGTTTTAATCCATTTGTGGAGGGTACAGCTCAGTGGCCCGTGTGGGTGTTAGAAAAGGCCCTAGCCTAATAGGATCGAACTGGCAACCTTGGTGTTATGAGCACTGCGTTCTAACCAACTGAGCTAACTGGCTGCCCCTTATAGTGTTGTTTTTTTTTAAACTTTTTATTGGGGAGTGTTTCCACTTTTTTGAGGAGCAGTTTACTGTCGTTATAGCCTTACTCTAAACTGTTTGTTACCTCTGCTTTGGTC